TAGTGTAACTGATTTGGCTGATAAACATTTGTTTCTTGTTGAATTTTTGTTTCATACTATTAGTTTTGTTCATCGAACTAGTGATTGAATACTTCTTATCGACAATATGGTTGGTTTCCATAGAAGTTATGTGTTGTTGGTACGAAGAAAAATACTTCGTAGACTGACTATTACTAACAGGTGGTGTATGTATGAAAATATCTTTTTCAATTTTCTTAATCAACGGCGAATAGCATGAAGATAAAAGCATACTGATGGAAAAGTGTGCCCGTGAAAGAAGTGCGATGATGAGATGAGGTTGAATCCATTAATGGCAATTTGAACTGATCGGGTTTTAGCGTTAATACGGTTATTGATATTGTTACTATAGCTGCCATCGAGTATCGATGTATAGTGAACATTACATTTAGACAGACACATCATCGAATAGTTACTCTTGATGGCGAATAGCAATAGAGCGAGAAAACATAATTTTAATAGTTTAAGTGTAACGAAGAAAAAAAAATGAGAAATAATCTCACACAAATTCTTCAAAATCCAACAAGTAGAAAACAGAAGATGGAATAGTTGATGGTGTACTTTGAAATGATCCTCCATTTACTTTTTTCAATAATGAATTCAGGCATGCTAAGTATGAATCATTGTTCATCATCGCTACTGTTGTTACCGTCTTGATATCGACAATCAATAATTTTTCTGAAGAACTGTTCAGACTGGAATATTCTCTGACTATGATAGACAGAGAACAGTAGATTACATTGGAGTGTTTGATGGATGTCCGTCACGGTGGGTTGGAGTCAAACAAGAGCGAATATAATGTTCAAGATAGGCCATGTCAAGTACTTGATAGCAAGCGACCAAGGTCTCCTGTAAGGTACCTGGTACATCTACTGACGCTCGACGAGATGATAATTGGCACTACTTAGCGAATATAATGTTTGATTGATATTTGGAAGGTTTCAATTCATTACTGAATAAACCCATTCGACTATCGTTAATAATTGCTTCTGTGAAAAAAAAGATGGTTTCGTTGTTTTTGATGAATACAAAATCGTGCAGATGTGTTTTCTCGAAGATTTGCCCTCGACTTCACATGCAGGTTGCTCGTTTAGAAATAATACTAATTAGTTGTTGAGCAAATTAATGGTTCAATGTTAATGGGGGTATGGATGTGGGTGGGCGTTATTGTTAGTTTTTTTCTTCATCCGCTTCTACATTCTCATACCTTCACACACGTGCATACACACCTAGAGTGAATAATGGTCACATTATATTCTTGCCAAGAGATGCTAATTTGATTCTCGTGAATATCATGAAGAAAAGACAAGGCTTCTTCATGAAAGGTATCTTCATCGATGTCGTAAAAAATCCTATTCAAGATGATTGATCGATTAGACAGATGTTGAGAAATGCTTGTAAAGGCTTCGAACCATTGGATTGTTCACCTTTATGGACCGATCGATAGTAAGTGTTTGTAGGTGAAATTTTCATTCTGTGATCAATGAAGACGACAATCGACACGTAAAATTCAATGAAAGAAGTTAGAAATTCAATCGAATGCAAGTGAATGAAAATGACTTCAAAAAACATTGATTATCCTTTTTTCGCTCAGGCTTTTACAAATTTCCAGGAAAAATAATCTCATATTCTAGTCATTTACATTTGTTGGGTTTCTCAAAGATGAATATATGAGATATCTATATATAGCGCGAATTGTAGAGCTGTTTATCTATCAACTGATTGCTATATTTCAAATTTTGAATTTTCTCACTCAATCTTTACAGACATATCTAAAGTTTCTCATTGAATGACAATCCAAACCTACATTTGATCTTCAACAAAACATGTACGAGATAAGTTTAGCTCAAATGACACAGTTTTGATTGTACTTATTAAAAAATGAAATATACTTCGATTAAAGAAATGAAATAGTGTAGATGAACAGAAGAAAATAAAACATAATTTTTGAAATAACACTGACTGTTTGTTTTGATACGAGCACGCAAAGTTGATCTGAACAAATTTTCCCAGAAAAAATGCCACATCTATAAAATATTTTTCGATGGGGGAAAAATGGTCGGTCCAACTATTTCATCCGATTTGGTCCGACCGAACCGGCACAGCTCTGCTACGAGCTGTACCCCATAAATCGAATTTTTACTAAAACACAAAATTTTTAAGAGATGTCGCATGTTACCATTATACAGTTTCTCCTTTTAAAAAATCTCATTTTGTTCGTTTATTGGCTCAAACAATTCTTCAATGAAGAGCAAGTATACAAAGCAAAAACAAAGATAAAATTGTCTATTCACGTTTAGTGCACAGTCAGATTCTAGTTAGTCATCAAATCATAGCTACAAATGCACTTGAGAGGGAGCCACATGTGAGGACACTTTTTCTAAAATTTTTATTCTTACTATTCGAAGTAATAAAGAGATATCAACATTTTAGTATAATTTGTTTTTGAGACCTAAGCCGCATTTCTGAAATCACTGTTAGTGGGTGGCGACACGGATGCAATAATGGCTTATTTGAGCCAATGGAAACTATTCATCTAGAATCTTTTGCATTCTGTCTCGTTTTAACAAGATACAATTCTAAGGCAATACCTTAGAGATGGCGATAAATAGCGCTATCTATATATACGAGGCAATTTTTGGGCCAAAATCTGATGTGCAGCTCAAAAAAGAATAATTTTTTACATTCGCTACTATTCAAATGATGTTAGGTCTCTGTCGACACTGCAGATGATACATACAGGTGCAATTCTTGATCTTGTTTCGCTATCCTGTGTTTACTTTATTTGCTCTGATCGCGTACTATTTAAAAAAAGCTTTATTTTTATTCAATAAAATCCCATTGTCTCGTTCTTTTCTTGCATCAACAACTGTACCATCATCAATCATCCTTTTTACTTCTAACTTTATTCCATGTGTTGTCTAATTCAAGTTCCAATACGAACGAAGCTTCAACTACATAAGATGATTTCAAAAATAACTCAAAAAATAATTAAACCAGTACTTGACTGTAGAAAAGAAATACAAGATTTAATCTCCATCATAAACTATAATTCATATAGGACTATCCTTTAGCTGCTGCTGAAAAGTTAAAGATAAATTTTATCTGAGTTATTTTTTAAATACAGATGGTGATGCTAATGCAGAATGTAGATGAGTTTGTCGCTGAAATGAATATTCGCAGTTACACCCATTCCCACGCTACACATCCAAACACTCACACCCATCTTTCTCTGATCCGTAAACAAATGTGGACTGGTCAATGATCGTTACGTATCTTTGAGTACAAGTTTTCGTTCATACGTCCGTGTGCCCATTGATCAAATCTTGGCCTCGTTGGCATCCCTCTCATCCTGCTCGCATCCATGATTGCTATATAACAGTGTGCATGAAATGAAAGGACCTAAGCGAATACGTGAGCTAACCGAATAAACTTTCATCGTGCAAGTTGATTGATTACCAATAATGTTCACAAGAGATACTTCTTTGGACTACACTTTCTGATACTACATGCTAGTACATGTATACAGCCGCAGCTAATTAGAGTTGATCTACATATTCTAAAGAGCAATGTATCGTTTTGATAGATGCAACTTTGTGAAAGGCGGCTTTTGTAAACATGCGTTCGTCACTTCTTACAACGTAAACAAGAAAACAAATCAAGTCTCCGCAGACGTCGTTTCTTCTCATATTTGTTTGTATTTATCTTTACGTGCTTGCAACTTTAAAAAAGAAGTAAACAAAGTTATAAGAAATAAAAGTGATCATTCTTTTCACTCACGCTATTCAAAGTTTCCTGTTTAGAAAGAAAAGAAATAATATGTTATACAAAACCAAACTGCAAGAATAAAATAAGAACGAAAAAATATTGGGTACTCGAAAAGCTATTATCGGAAAGTAAATTTGCATATCTCCATCCATAATAATTAAATCGGGTGCTTTTTTCTGAACGATAGAGAAGTAATCAGAGTTTTTATTCTTTGGAAAAAGCTTCGCAAAAATCGTTTAAAAGTATCATCTTTAATTTCGATACAATAATTTAGCTTTTTTCAATTTCTTATAACACTTTCGAGAGATACTCGCCATATTACTTGAAGCTTTTCAGCTCACATTTTGCCTTTTAGTAGAGGATTACTAGACTAGGGAAATCTCCAAATGGTTCGTACTCGTATCGAATTTGGACGAGATACTGAGTGTTGCATGAATTCTACCCTTCAAGCACTTCAATTTATAAATAAAATTCAGTTTCCGAATTTCGACCTAAAAGTTTGCCCATATAAAGCTTTCAATATACCAGATTACGTAGAAAATTTCAGAACTTTTGAGTGTAGTCTCCTCGAGATACGAATTTGTCAAAACTTAGGTGCTTGTTCCATCGGTATCGCGGAAAACACGACGATATTGAAAAATCCGTATTTCGGGGAGACTATATACAAAAGTTTTGAAATTTTCTATACAATCTGATGTAATTGAAAGCTTTATATGGGCAAAACTTTAGGTCAAAATTCGGAAACTGAATTTTATTTATAAATTGAAATGTTTGAAGAGTAGAATTCATGTAACACTCAGTATCTCGTCCAAATTCGATAAGAGTACGAACCATTTGGAGGTGTCTTTAGTCTAGTAATCCTCTACTAAGAGGCAAAATATGAGCTGAAAAGCTTCAAGTAATATAGTGAGTTTCTGTCGAAAGTATTATAAGAAATTGAAAACAAACTAAATTATTGTATAGAAATCAAAGATAATAGTTTTGAATAGTATTTGTGAAGGTTTTTTTTAAGAATAAAAACTCGGATCACACCTCTATCGTTCACAAAAAAAATAGTCTAGTTGACTAATACGCGATGTAAATATGCAAATTTACTTTCTGGTTATAGCTTTTGAAACATCTTATGTGTAGACATTGTTGATTATGCATACTTGAAAAGTGTGTCAATCGAATAGTCCAGATGAATGTAAGCATGAGTGAGAGAATAATTGTGTTCAGTTTCGACGCAACGCTTTATCTTTCACCATCTGTTTTGCCTTCCGCTCGTACTCGGCCTTATTTGAGTCATACTCTTTTTGTATCTCTACAGCAAGACAGAAAGAGTGGTTTAATAAGAGAATCGACAATATAAAATAAACCTACCGGGGCTCATCGCATACTCGATTTTTGGATGATCAATAACGTCGACAATAGCTTTGACCACGTCGGCCAAAGACGTATTAGCATTCCAGTTCTCGGTCACTCTTAGAATAGGTATGCAAACTAAACCTATAGGTACAGACACAAAAAAAATGAAATTATTGTTTGGAAATAGAAGGACTTTTTAAAGATTGCATCCAGAATATTTTTTGAGGTAAATAATTACTCACCATCTTTATCGACATTTAGATGATAGATGGGTGTAGCGAAGCGCACTTCTGGTGGCTTGAATGGATATCCAGGTGAAAATCTCATTTCTAGTCGATAAGCTCCTTCTTTGTAGATATCAGAAGTTGGTAATATCCGGCCGGCGATAACAGGATCTTGAGATTCTGCAGCAGCTGCTTCTTGTTCCTGTTGAAAAGGAGACTCGTCAACAATGAATATACCTGGCGAATTACCAGTTGGACCTAACAATCTCAGCTTATTCACCTCCACCCATGCTTGTTTGGCCGTAAGTGGCATTGAATTCAAGGTAATAAAATAATCTAAAACACACAAACAATGAAAATGCAGCGCATCTGTCTGCGTGTTCATCATTTTCGATATAAAAGAAAGAGACTTCTGAGGCTGCTTATTGATTTCAAAAGTGTGCCGTCGTGAATGTGTGCGTGTATTTACGTATTTTTTTTTTTTATTCTATAAGAACTTGCTAGAAAGTGACTTCAACAGAGGTTACTGAGTTTTTCTGTTGGCTATCGGGAATATTCATTTTTCGATAAACACATTAACTCACACTTTCTTCTTCTGTGGGCGTCCTTTTATTTTACTTTTCTATCGATATTTAGATATAGTTTCGTTTTGATGATGGTTGAGTGCGAGATTGGTTTTTTCCCGCATTGTATATTTACTAAGGTTTTTTTCAGTGCATAAAAAAGAATTATTTACAGATGTACAAAAGATTTTTTTTGTTTCACTTCGAACAGTAGTCACCCTGCATTAAGTTTTTTTCCAACAAATGTATTTCAATACCGTTCTTTTTCACAGGACAGAAGAATCCTACAAAGCAGTACGAAGTACTTTTTTATTGTTAGGTTTCATGATAATTGATAAGTAAGTTGGTTTTTTCCCAGTTGAATACTTCGTTCGTCACTTGTTCACAGAATCAAAGGACATGTTGTAGATATTTTAATTAATACATTTCGTTGTTGTTAAAATGAATTTCTTCTATAACCAGATGCGTTTGAAACAAAAAGCTAGTAAACAATCGTCTTTCACAGAAGCATGATTTGAATTGGACACATCTGTTTTTATTTTTATTTGGATGACGTATATTGCGTGTTTGTAGCAACCAATCATTTAATGACAGCAACCTCACTATGAAAAAAAATGCATTTTAACTATGTAAGTAATTGCTCAGTAATTGTGCAATTCTTCATGCAAATGTAAAAAAAAATGATTCTTCGTTCTGTTTTCTCATACTAAAATGAAATGTGTCGCTTATTGCTACGTCGCGTTTTCGTTGCGACACATTCTGTCGCTTTATCTCACGGTTCTTTTTCTACAGTGTATTAATCATTTCGAATGAAGATATGATAAGTGTAAAAGGCAAACAAAAGCAAATGTATGAAACAACGTCCATCGTGGCAAGCTTCGTCTTGTTGAGAATGTTGATGTGGGTGTGGGTAGTGTGAGTTTGATTGTGGATAAATCAGCTACTTCTCATTTGCAAACATGAAAAAAAAATCATGTTTAAGTAAAATAATATGTTTTAAATTTTCAGTTGATTTAAAGTTGACAATTTTCTTAGTTTCGTATAAAACGATTAAATTTGATAGTAAATTTCTAAAGATTTGATCAATAAGAACACATACAGAAAATAAGTCGTTTTAAAAAATTTGAATGAGAATTTATTTTATTTTAAGGAAAGCTACTACAGCTTGTAGAGGGCGTAACTTTTTGACTAGAGAAAGTGTTTGAGCAGTGCAACTGCTGTAATTTGTAGAGGATGCAAGTTTGTTGTCAAATGAAGATTTTAGTTATAAAAAAAATTACTGTAATTTGTTGATAGCATGAGTTTTTGTTCAATACAGATTGATCATTTTAAAGGACGTGGTAAAATATATAGAGAATGTGAGCTTTTAATCAAAAAAATTTTTGATTGAGATAGATTTGAGATGATATGCAGAAAGGTGTACAGGGTGTAAAGAATGGTATGACACTTTTTTCTATAAATAGTAGCTATCAAATATTAAATGAAATGAAATTATATGTATATATTAATATGTCTTGAAAGCAACCTAAGTTTTAAAATAAATTATTATTATCGTTCGGATATAAGCTGGATTTTGTGAAAGAGAACTAAATATTTAGATGAGATATTGACTACCTGATTGGTTTTTTTGTTATTGATAAACTAATACCCATACTGCACGAGCAAGGGTCATCAATTTGGACTTAGCTAAGAAGGATTTTAATTAAAGTCAAAGCGAATTTTCAAAGAGGTTTTATCATAATTTATAGCAGTAATTCAATTTTTATTGTGAGTGTAAGGTGAATGGATGGAGGTGTTTGTGAAGAGAAGCCGCTTACGAACATCCATATTTTAAACCTATGTTTTGTTGAACGTAATTTTCTATATTTTTATTTTTGTATATAAATGCTTTGCACCTCAATTAGTTTGTCTTCATTCGATGTTTGATTCTATGTCATGGTAAGAATTAAATAGTGTGTTGAAGTTCAAAAAAAAAACTCATGCTCTTCATAATAACAATCATGTCTGGTGAACTCTACAAATTGCAGTTAATTAAGAAGAAGAAGAGAAGAACAATAGTTTAACGCGCTCTACAAATTACAGCTCATTAAATAAAAATAGTGAAATTCAATATTTAGCGAACTCTATAAACTGCAGTTAGTTAAAGGTAGAATTAAAGTTATCAGTTTTATTAAAATTATTATGAGTAATTTTATTAAAAATTTAAAAGAATTAAAATTTAAAATTTTGGTTAATTTTTTAAAAATAATTTCTGTCATAAAAAAGTTTTTTTTGAATTGATATAAGTTAATTTTTAAGAATTTAAACAATGAAAATTTGAGACTTAAGATTGTTTTCTATTTTAATAATTTAAATTAAAAAAACAAACGAAATTGAACTTAATAGTTTTTGAATTTCGAGTTTATGTTCGCAAATGAGAAGACATATAGACGACTATCAACTATAACTAAAAAGTGCTGTGTATATATTGAAAATGAAGCTAATATAGCCGTTGATGTAACTATTTCATTTCAAAAAGCAAAACATGCGTTAGCATAAAAACTTAATGAATGTTAAAATCAATAAAGAAAATAGAATATAACTGATAGAATTTCGATTTATTAGTTTCACCGAAAATTTTTTAAATTATCGAGAATATTATTTATTAATTAGAAAATGCTTCTTAACGTGAGCTTCATACAAGATCTTGGTTAACAATGACCAACAGTTAACTTTTCCGACCGGCATCCAGAAGCCAGATAGCAAAAATCTTTTTCTGCATATTTGTTGTTGTTCTATCACATGGATAGCAAAAATGTATTTTTCAGAACAAAAAAAGTCCTTCGGCACCTAATAAAACTTTATGTTGTCATTTGGTAACAGCCAGCTACTATGAGTTAAAATTTTAAAAAACTCATTTTTTTGTTTTTGGCTATGAAAATGCACTATTTTATACTTTCTTCATTTATTCATAAAACCAACACAAAAAACAGGATACAAATATATATAGAGAAACAAGACAGACAAACATATAAGAAAACAATAACAGCAAAGATTACGTATAATTTTGAAGAAAGCAACTTATTTATGATGATAATCTTTGAAACAACTATTTTTATTGTTCAAACATAAACATAGACCACATTTTGAACATGATATTCTTGTATATTCAATACAGTTAGGATTTTGACAGCAGCCCTTTGCTATTTGAGCAGGCCAATGATCATATTTATCAAGCTGAGCACTGGTTGATGAAGCTACACTCAGCACTTTTCTACGTGAATTTGGAAGATAATTTTCATTTGCTGTTGATTGCAAAGATGGACGGTCATGTTGTGCTGGGGGTGGTAGTGATAGACTAGATTTTTGTAAAGTTTTCGCTACATCAATACGAAACGCTAATAAAAACATTATATTCTTTTTTGAAACTTGAAGTTGCAAACAATGGTGATCATAGAAAAGCCAATTATTCACTAATGACAGATCAATAAGATGAAAAATAATTTTAATATAATACCTTGATGAACGAACATCGATGCGATATAGCGAGATCAGCATATCGATCAAACCTACTCAACCTATGTGTTGGTTATAAGCTTTTATAACGTTCAGTCTTGTAATTTGTATGTTTATTTTTCTTGGATGACCATCGTTGAACTAAATCAATCCGACGACAGCCATATAATGTTGAAAGACAGTTAATAACATTACTAGCATATCATCTTGATGCAAATATTTGAACACCATCAACCTCAGCGACACGATGATCCATTGCTTCTGGACATTTGTTTGATAAATCTTTGACATTTTTCATAATCCAATCAGACAATCAATTGAATCTTACTGTACTGACAGCATAAATTCACAGCTGTTGCAGTTCCACTTGTAATCAAACCGTTGTGTAATAATTATCATAATACAGTTTATGGTTGATTGAATGTTGTACGGTTTCGCACAGTTCAAAAATAATTTTTGCACAGAGTTCATATTTCTGCTTATTTCCTTTACCAGTATAGAAAATAAAGTCATAACATATACCGCTTTTACCACTGACTAAAGGAAACATTTTGTAATTTCAATGATTCGGTTTATTTGGCATATGCTGCTTCATAATACTTTTTCCTTTGAGAAGCATTGCTTGTTCATCTGCACTCAATTTTCCTTCTCTTAGAATTTTTTCTGAATTTTTTTTACAATATTGAATAATGGACGCACTTTATATTTTCGATCAAAGTTTGGACCGATATCATGCGATTGACTTGAGTTATCAACAACATGTAAAGATACAAATATGGATACTGATATTATAAAAGAAAGGATCTTATTGCTCAAAAATGATGAAATAGATTAGTTGTAAATCGATTTTAAATTGAAATGATGTAGTTTCCCTGAATGTGATTATGTTTTTTTTTCATTTTCATGAATATAATGGAAGTGGATCAATTCTACATTAACATAATGTTATAAAGTTGATGAAAAGTTGCATGAAAGTAACATATTACTTACATGTTTTTTTTTTCTGTACAGACATAACATAGAAAACGAACAGAATGGTTCTATGGATGTAATGAAGAACAATATCAAATCAGAATAGAAAAATAAACACTGTGCTTACTAGAATGTAATTAAGATTATGAAACAAACATTTCTAATTATAAAAAGAACATGATTTCAGTTTTATGAAAGAAAATTAAAAGATATCGCATACTAAATATGGAATCGATAAAATTATTCAGGTGATTTATCGCTTTGTATGTATATAAGTGAATATTATAAATAAATGTTGTGTATTCTTCCGATTGAAAGAGAACAGAAAGAAAACCTATCGAGTGTCAATCATTTTTTTTCGGTTTGGTGATCAGCACAAGACATCATGCGAATATTAATAATTTTGTCTTTGATCGTCTCTGTATTAAGAATAAAAGATTTGCGGATTTATTATTTTATTCTACTATTAGAACAATTAGTTTATAGGTCAAATCGTTGAAATGCCAAATTATTCTTGTACTTAGAGTAATTTTGCAATAAAATTTACATTATCTGATTTATTTCATTCTGCATGGAATTCAACATGAAAATGTTCTTTACCACAATGTGATATTTCCTCGAATACTGATAACTGTCGTTCACCATCTACACCTTGCTTTAACTATCGTACACTTACTAATAAAAGCTACTGTGCACCAGGTATACTATGTTCGATTTTAGAACCATGTAACAACATTACATACGCTTGTTCATCAAATATGTCGGTGTGCATCATTACCTCTTGTTGTTCACCCAAAGCAGAATGTTTACCATTGTCATAGACATCTTTCTGTTTATCAGGTAATAACGTAAAATTCTTAAAGACGATCACATGTCTTGATTTTGTTTTTTGAAGATAGAAATAGATAAGATAAACACCTAAGATCTTTCAATTTATCTATAATCGAAATTTTAAAATGAAAGACAGATTAAATATCGAATGTTATGATCTAGTCACTCTCTGTTCCATTTCAATGACATCTGATTGAAAAATTTATCTAACAAAGAAAATATATGTATAAAAAAAGAAACAATTGAAACATTAATTAATACTATAGTGACGAATTTGAAAAGTAAGCTTTTTTCATTTGTCAATCATGTAAAAGTTTTATAACATTTCCAAATAATTTTAATAATAGAAAACAATGATATATTTTCTTATCTATTTGAATATTTCTGTTTAGGATGGTCGAATACTGACAAAATGATTAATACGCGATATGGACATGCATCATCTGTATTACAAAATGGAAAAATATTAGTTACTGCTGGAATACATAATGATACTTATTTGAACAGTGCTGAATTGTATGATCCATTAACAGAAACATGGACAATAACTAATAGTATGAATAATAGCAGACGTTTACATACAGCTTCGATATTATGGAATGGAAAAGTTTTGGTTAGTGGAGGAACTGATATTTATTTAAGTAGTGCTGAGTTGTATGATCCATCAATAGGAATCTGGACAGAAACTAATAATATGAATAATGTATGAGAGTATCGCACAGCATCTGTATTATTAGATGGGAAAGTATTAGTTACTGGAGGAATTGCCATTTATCCAAGTAGTCCTCAGTTGTATACTCAAGAAACAGTAAATCTGACAAGAATTATTAGCGAGAATAATATACAAATTAGTAGCGTATACCGTAGTAGTATAGGTCTCAATAGTTCTGAGTTGTATGATCCATCAACAGAAACATGGACCATAACTGGTACCATGAATATTGGTCGACATGCACACTCAGCATCATTGTTAACAAACGGAAAAGTATTAATTGCTGGAGGTATTCATAATGGTACTATGTTGAATAGTACTGAACTTTATGATCCGTCTACAAGAACATGGATAGTAACTGGTAGTATGCATAATGAACGATATGATCATACAGCATCTGTATTAACGAATGGGAAAGTTTTAGTTACTGGTGGAGGAATCGATAAAAATTTATACAATACTGAATTGTATGATCCATCAACAGGTATCTGGACACTAACTGGTAAGATGAACAGTGGACGAATTTTGCACTCGGCATCTGTATTAAAGACCTGAAAAGTATTAGTTACTGGCAGATCTAATCATAGCATAACTCTACATACTGCAGAATTATATTAGTTACCGCAAAGTGATGAACAATAAATTGTTCTTTTTATTCTTGATTCACGTGTTTCCGAATCGAAATGCTATGTTTATAATTGAATTCGTATATTTTTAATATCAATGAAGTTTTTTGTATATAAATTTTTGATCAATTGTCTCTTCTCTACGTAGAATATCAACGATTTTTTGATCTTATCGTATTTTAGTAGTAAATATTTGCTTTGTTATAAACTTATAATATGTTATGTTTCTAGTGGATTCTTTTTAATATAATAAATCTCCAAACAAAAATTATTTTTCATCTCGAAAGTTTATTTTTTTGTTGGTTACTAGGAAAAACTTTGATCTGAATGTGATAAAATTCTGAATAGATTTTCTTCATAGAAAATACAATAACTCATAGAATTGAACATATTTCTTTTCTTTTACCATATGGTTCTCAAAAAATAGCATTTAAACACTTTCAACAATAAGATTATGAGATATCGAATTGAGAAGTATTTGTTTTTAAAATAAAATAATATCTATATATTCAATTTCGACTAACGATTTTCCTCTTCGTTTTATGTATTGGCGATCATGGAAATACTCAATAATTAAACAAAAAAACGACCTTTTTCTCGAACTCACATATATTTTTCGAAAAATAATGAATGTAAGTTCTGCTTCGGAGTTTTTTGACTCCTCGTTCCTGATACACCATAGCAACCGAGCTTAAAAGTCGCTGGATACGAATACTCTCCTAGCAGCCAACGACAACAGACATCAAACTCCTTTTTCATAGTAACTTAGCAACAGAAACATTCGTTGAATTAAAAACAAAAAAGCAAAAATTGTTCTGATACATTTCAATGTCTTGCTTGAAATTTAAATGGCTGAAATATGTTTTTGCATGCTTGTCTTAAATAGTGTAGTTTCAGATTTTTACACTTATAAATAATTATATGATCGATATCATGGATGGTAACTAGTGATCGATTAATTGGCCACAGTCGTCACTTAATCAACACAAAAAAAGATGAAGTAACTAAGTTCCAACATTCGGAAATATCAATATCAGTATTTCTAAGTTTATCAAGATAGATAATAGCAGTTTGAGATCTATTCTAGAAATAATGAATGTCTACAACAAACTTATTTATCAGTTAAATCAATGATTCGAGCAAGAATAACAGTAATAGTAACTTACGAAACATCGAAGATAATAAATAACGAGCGAATAATAACAAGGCAAATAAAAAATTGTGCTTAAGTGAAAAACAAAACAGAAAAAAAATTCGGTTCAAAATACAGAAATAAATAAGCTAGATCGTTTCTCTGATAATTGATTATCTTTGAAAGACACTTATTGTCTGTTAGAAAATTTGCAGTTTACATATTTTATATAATTATTATAAAGCTAAAGAATGCATGTGAGCTCCACAATCTATGCCTAACAAAGCTGCGCTAATAAGCTTTTTTAACAAATTATCTTTTGTTATCATGATGATTTTGTAATATTTTATATATTCCTCTTTGATAATTTTAGAACATATGTAGGTCTATTTGTTGGTTGCAATTTGATGATAGATAATTCGTTAGTATTATCTTGTATATAGAATTATAGGCGAAGGAATAATGTGAGTGTAATTTGTCAATATTACTATTCTTCAATAAGAAAAAGAAAATAGTATACGATACATTAATTAGTGTTTTCTTCCACCATCATTTAGCATAAATGATTCTTTTTTAGAAAAGAATAATCATTTATTAAGAGTATTTTTACAATTTCACTTCATTTAGTATAATAAATATTTTCTATGCAATGATCCGTAATAATACATAAACTCAGTGGTTAATTAGATATATTCCATCATTGATAATAAAAATAAAGAATTTTTCGTTAATTCTATTGTTTTTATTTTTATGATTGAAACTCACTCGTGCATTTTTATTATTATTCTACTAATCGAAGAAAAAGAAAGATGCGAGAAATAATATAAATAAAAAATTCGTAGAGTCTTCAATAAATTGTAAATGTATATCTTTTAGCTAGGTGGTATAATTCCAGGTATTGGAGGATAATTTGGTTTATTTCTAAAAAATAAGAATACACCTATTACTTATTAAGAGAAAAGAATAAACATACGAAAGAGATTGTGTATTCCCAAATCGTTCACCAGTATCCATACCAAGTGCACCAGCTCCAATACCAAAACCAACACCACGAATACCAAATTTACGAGTATAGCATTGTTTACAATATAAATCACCATCATGTTCTGAAAGTGTTGTCACTTCTAATGCTTTTTTACAGAGAGCTAATTTTATAAAATAATATGACAAATGAGACATATATTTTTTTTTAATTTTATTTACCGCATCGGAAACAAGTTTTATGCCAGACTTTTCCAGCAGCTGGAATTGATTCAGCATGAAAAGCTGCATGACCGCAACGAGGACAATGAGGAGTTTCTTGATTTTTATATGACATTCTAAATAACATATGAATACGATGTATACCATTTCCTAATCAAATATGTTTGTCTTACTTCAATTGAATCTGTTATGAAACCCAAATCAAACAGAATTTGTGAATAGAAAAGAACTCCGATGCAATTCTCAGAAATATATCTATATGTATATATATATATATATATATGCGATGCCTTCCTTTTTTTTGTATTATTTACTTTTAATCTTGATGAAGAAAAAAAGTCATTAGGAATACATCACATCTAGATAAACAAAGTAGAAAGAAGGTCATCCTTCATTTTTCTTATAAGCATATTAGTCCTTTTTTCTTTTTCTTAGAACTAAATAGTGTATAATACATAAAAGAAATAGTGTCAATGAGAAAAAAAAGCAAGAAATCTGTCAACATAAATTTGCTTGGCTGAAAAACGTAGGTCACCAATGTTTTGTTGTAAATTGAAATGCATACTAACGAAACTATGTCAATCTTTCTTTATATGATATTATATTAAGAATGTGATATTTGCATAACCAATTCAATTTTGTATATATATATATATTGTTGCTTCGACAAATTGAAATGACAAATATTATCGAAATCATAATTTCATTTTTGATATTGGATCATTTTATTCTTATTAGTTTTTTCCTGTATAATTGTTTTGTAAAATCTTATTGACGTGAAAAAATAAAAAATAATTTTCATTGTTGATCAAGATTTTCATATGTATCACATTTGAGTAGTTTTCTCTTTACTAGACGCAATGAATCGTATACTACTGTCTGTTAAAATACTGGCCGTGGCAATTTTTTGAAGAACTCATAAATGGAAGTAGCTAGCGATCTGTGGTTTTCGTCATTTTGTAGAGCAATGACTACTCTATCGATTCATATATGAAGCTTTGGAAAACTCAGAATTTCAATCTGTTTGCTCCATGAACTTTTAAAAGGTTCGAATCCTGATTTCTCAAGTTCTAAAGTGACCTCTATGTTTAAAGTGACTAAAATATAGCCTAAAGTGCTCTCTACAAGCCTATGAAAGGCTGACCTCGATATCTCTTATGGTTCTCAAATGGTCTTCATTTTTCTGAAACTTGTACTGGTGACTGTCCTGCATTGTTACTCATTTTTCAGAATGCATGAAAACATAGATACCTATGTTTCCATGCATTCTTAAAAATGAGTAATAGTAAAGGATATTCACCAACACGAGTTTCAGGAAAATGAGGATCATTTGAGAACCATAAGAGATATTGAAGTCGGCCTTTCGTAGGCTTTGAGAAATCAGGATTTGAACCTTTTAAAGGTTTATGGAGTCAACAGACTGAAATTCCAAATTTTCCAAAGCTTCATATATGAATCGATAGAATAGTTATTGCTCTACAAAATGACGAAAACCGCAGATTGCTAACTACTTTCATTCATGAGATATTCAAAAAATTACTACGGCCATTTTGTTTTTACCAGGCAGTAGAATATGTTTGTTGATGGCCGATAACAAAAAATAATTGCCATGATAAAGATAGGATAAAATCTCATGAAAGCTTTTGTGTAGACTATGTTTATCATCGTTTGCAATTCTCATATAAGCTACCTCATTTAATTTGGCTGCCAGTTTTTATCTTTTTACACTTACGTTCTGATTATCAGCAATGTAATAGTGAAATCTAGCAAGGAGTTTAGAGAGAGAAAGTTTTTTCTGCTTAATCTGTAGACAAAAAATTCAGAATAATAGACATGTTTAATTGCACATATAAAAACTTAATGATCGACACATATCTATTTTTCCAGAAAGAAATGCTCAAAATGTTCAAATATAATTTGAATGCGCTTGAGAATTATTCTGAAAACAACGTACACAATTCAAACAAATTGTATCTGTGATTATTAATAAAGAAAGTTAAAACACCATGCACAAATCTGCATATATCCTATGGATCCTCATGTTTCTATTATGGCCCAGAAAATAGCTACGTCATTGAATAAATCATTTAAAGATTATTTCAATGTATACGGTAGAATGACCTTGATTTCTGAGAAAAAGAATGAATTGAAAAACATATCATCGATATAATCCTGTTGTCATTTCATGAATAATAAAAGAAAAAGCGATTACTAATGAACTTAAAGCTGTTAACATGCATAGAAAGCTATGGAATTACTTTATGATATTCTATTATTGTTGTGCATCCTCTTATTGCTAGTTTGGGACTATAAAAGAGTATGGTTTTGCCGTAGAATCTTTCATCTCAATAGATTATTACTAAACATGCTACAAAATGGATCTTCAAAAATATCTATTATATATGGTTGCATTTGTGTTTCTTTTCTAATCGGCAATGTCGTTTTCAAAAGATTCTAATGCTGCTTTTTCATCATCATATGAAGAATTATATGCATTATTTGAACTATTGGCTTTAACGCAAATTAATAATACACTATAGACCTGTTATGAAACTTAGATGTATCTGTTTGAAATATCGATATTTACAAGAGTTCATAATCGAATAACTGGACATATTAAATCGTCGAGCATATTTCAAGTGGTTGAAAAAAAAATCTTCATGAATATTTTAGTGAATGTAACTATTCCTGAATAAGTTTTACATTCTACATTTTAAGTAAAAGCAAATAAAAAGTTGAAGAATCAGGCTTTTAACTGATTTTGTCACCATGTTATATGTGTTTGCAGAGTCTCTGATGAGTTTTGTCTTCTGTGCAAAAATATATGTAAACTCATATTTTTGTCATAAAAAATTTCTAAATATAAACTGATTATCTTTTGTTTTAATAACCGAAATTCATTTACCTGTAACCAAACAATTTCATATAGTTATAGGTCATGCACAACTTTCTGTAATCCTCTTTTTCGTCTTTATTTTTGTTTTTTTCAGCATTTCTTTTTTCAGCATTTATACAATCACATGCAAAACTTTTCGACGAAGAAAAAATTCGTTGCCACTCCATCATGTCCTAGAGGGAAAAAACCTTATCTAGGTGAAGAATACAAAGATTTTGCAGCAAGACTTTTGAATGAAATATATATGGTGTGAATGAACGCTTGATTATCGGTCGATTGGTTTGATGTCATGCATAACTATCTTTTTTTTTGAAAACAAGAAATCATTTCATGTGAATTATTTCGATCTAACTTAATATACATCGTTTTTATCAATATTGACTGTAGAAAATATCTCTCGACAATCACGTATAGTCTTTAATGACTCATAATATAGAAAAAACTTTATTTCATTTTTTTTGAAGATAGATTCTCATTTGTAAAAGTTTGTGCACTCAAAGTTCCTTTTTATAATATGTCTTGTTCATATGATAGTCGCTAATTAAAAGATCGATTCCATTGGAAAAGTATTTTTAATAAGAAATTATTGTGATACACAATTCGAAAATCAAAGCATTCTCGCATTGAAATCTTTTAAGAGATGTCAACTAAATTGTTGTTCAAGTAATTTATACTAACAAGATGATACAAACCGTCTTATCATGAGTTTAGAAAATATTAGTTTGGTTATTTTGATTGAATTTTTTTCAAATCCAGCTACAGAAAACGGCGATCATTTTATCAATGGCTACATAGTTTTTAACTAAATTGAAAAAGTTTCCAAGTCAACCGTTTAGTAGAATATATCGAAAGGAAACCTTTGGAGCTCTCTATCTATGTTCCAAGAGTATTTAAAATGATTGGAGTTTTATTATAGCAAATAAAAGCGTTTCTCGTGCCTCAGTGTCGTTGAATTATAGATGACATTAGTGACTATTTTAAAACAAAGATTCATTTGCAAACTGTTTGGATTGACGTATTCTAAATAGAAATATCTTATAAGATGCGTCAATTCTTAATATCTTTATTTACAAACTACAAAAATAAACGCTACTTTCTTCTTGTTTATCATTCATGAGAATTGAATTATTCGTCAAATACTTTCATTATTACTGATTTTTCTTCTTATAAACACGTTGCCACTTAACTCACAACAACAACAGAACGGGAGTTGTTTTTTTTTGCACTACATACGCAATCGAAGAAAAATGACAGATGAAGAAACTTGCTTCTTTGAAGAAGAATGTATTGATCAAGATCGTGTTGTTCATGACCAGTATCATGTGATCAATGAGCTTTGTTGTATAATTTGTCAGGGTCTTTTATGGAAGCCAAGATCATGTGCCTCTTGTCAACATTTATTTTGTAATCAATGTATTCGAATATGGCGTAAGGTCAATCCAACTTCATGTCCCTTTCGTTGTTCTCCATATGAAGAAAAACGTGCACCACCACATATTCATTCTCTCCTGGGTCGTCTATCCATTCGTTGTCGTAATAGTTTATTTGGTTGTACAGAAGTTCTATCCTACGATTTATTAGAACAGCATGAAACTGAAGAATGTCAGTTTCCAACTAAACGATGCAACATATGTCGAAAATATATACTAATAAGTGAAATTGATCAGCATCAAATATTTTGCATACCTGCAGTGACTCAATGTTTCGCATGCAAATATCTAATTGACCGAACTGTGTATCAACAACACATGATTAAATGTATCCAAGAAAGATTAGATCTCTTAATTGAACAAATGATACCATCACCAGATGATTTTGAGATACTTGAGAACAATACGCTCACTTTTCCACAGGAATATGGCAATGAAACAGGATTCACTCGATTAAATAATCGATTACAACGATTTCTGTTTCTGATGCCTAAAGCCAATCTAGTTGAATTCGATGCAGTTGTACAAGCTCGTCAACAAAATTGTTGCGCTCGAATTTGGACTATGCTTCGATTGATTTTCTTCAATAAATCACAAGCTGCTCAAATTTTAACCAGTCTTTTTTGGTTTGGCATTGGAACTATCATAGGCCTTTTGTTATATTTTTGCTTATTCATACAACGACAAGTTACAATTGCTATATATCGATCATGTGTCTTTATTATTTTATTCAGTGGATTATTCGGTTTTGGCCTTCCTGTTCTACTTGCATCTTTTAGCGATAAATTGATCATCCTATTTACTGTCATCAGTTTGATATTATGGAGTTCAGCATCTCCAAGATTACAGTTAGATTATTTGCAAATAGTTCAAAGCCAGAAAATATTATCAGTGTTATATTTTATTATCTTTCTTATTTTCAAACTATCTCTATTAATGATACGCTTCTACTATAGTTGTATACCTTCGTATATAACGGCAGGTTGTTTAGCTTGGTTGATTATTTTTGTAACATTTCATTTTCGTGATTTTTCTATTGGTACAAGATAAATGAATCCATCAACAAACAATAGTATAGGAGAGAGAGAAAGAGCGTAGATTTAATATATTTTATAATTTTCGACTTGATGTTTCAATTAAACTCTATGTTTTTCTATATATTCTTTAATATTCGAGATTTGATTTATTATTAAAATAAAATTTATTAAATAGACAGCATATATGTAGAATGATACAAGTCAGTAGAACAGATGCGTCTATAATAAATGCAACGTATATGTGTTATATAAAAAATTAAATCCTAATTATGGGTAATAGGAAATCTTGCATGAACTGGAATATTCATTATGATTATCAAACACATAAAACGTGTTTTTTACGTAATTATTTTTATAAAACAAACAGTGATTAAGTAAATGTTGTTATGTATAGAAACCATTAATAATAATATTTCCAAACAATTGTCGTCAGTTTTGTTATTTCCGTAGGTTCTGATTCCTGATCGAGTCCTCATAGAATTATGTGTAAATACAAAGTCTATGAGAAAAAACAATGCATAGATTTCTTCTCGGAAAGATCTATATAACTTATGAAATAGAGTTTATAGTATTGTTGCCAGTAAATATCAAAATTAATTTATATTTATAAAGACAAAAAATAAACATATCTTAATTTTTATCTTTAATACATTTTTATTTTTGTCTTCTTTAGAATTATTGATGGCGAATATCACTTATAAGCAGAATTGGAAGGAAATAATTTGTTTAGATTTAGTTATATCTTTCTTGATTCTCACTTTTAGCATTTCCAAACACGTTCCAACTCTCACTGTTGTTATATTCATTCAATTTTGAGTCCATAAATTTTGTGAAGGATAATGTGTAAAATATTCATTATCTAAATGCTAGATCCCTTGTTTAACCTATAGATCATAATAAAAAACAATGAATTTTTGTAAGGAACTTCTTTACTCAATTTATACTACAAACAGGTAGCCACTGATTTCAACTAATTTTTGTTCCTGTTCAATTTAATTTTTTCTCATATAGATAACATCACTAGAATTTACAAGGATAATCAATTTTTGCTACTAACAGTACTTATATCATTACACCAACAGGTTTTATTGACGTACGTAGTTATTGATATCACGGAAAACGTGGATGCGTACCTACATAATTTTAACACGATGATTTGTTTTCCAGTAGTAGCTTGAAATGACACAAATATTATATTGTTAGATCTATCACTACTTTGGGCATTCTGATTTGACAAATATGACAAGAAGTATATTGATAATACTAATAGGAACATTGTTGTCATGTATAGCTCTGAATACACTGCAAATTCTACTGATACTGTAGTTGTAAGTGAATGATATCAACTAATTGATATTGCTTACGATTCATATATGAGTATGTATGTTCGTGGACATACAAAATTAGTAACTGGTCAAATTTGCCAATCTATCTTAGTATTTTGTGCATTGCAAACTATGAATCTATTTGAACGATTTTTTTGAAAAAATACCCATAGTGATTGAAAATTTATCCATTTTCATCTTTCGTGTATTACTTCTAATGACATTGATTGGAACAAAATCTCTGCTTCTTCTTTCAGTATATGTTATAAACATATTATGTATAAAGTAAATTTGGTATGTTGTTTCAAATGTATCTCGTATGGATTATTTACGTGTTCATAGTTTGATTTTCAAATGATTCTGTTATCAAGTTTTGTTATAAATATTATCATCTTATTGCATTTGTAGTGCAGTGGATAGTAATGGAAGTATCATTGAGTATGAAAAGGTTAAAATATACATTCTAGCTTAAATTTAAATAGAGATAATAGAGTTTCTGATTTCTTCTCTCAGTTTCTATGTAACTCGCATGAAAACTTGAAAAAGTTCTTCATTCTTCATCGATGAAGTACAAGATATTGACGAAAGTACGAAGAAATTTCAAAGATTTCGATCTTGAAAGGAAACAAGATCTGAGTGACGAATCGATAATATTTGCTCTGTTAAAATGATTCAAAAAAATATTTTCATTAGAAGGTCGTAGAGTGAATAAAAAAAAACATATTACTCATAATCCTGTTGCATATGTTTGCGCTCGATGACTAATTATTATCACTGTAATCTGATGCGAATTTCATATTGTATTAGCTTTTTATTGTAATGGTCAACTATTTTGATAATTACATGTTTCCTTTACTGCCTGCAATCTCTCTACCGATAATTAGTTCGAAGTCAAGCGACTGTTGAATGTTAGTAGCATGCTACAGAGACTTCTGCTTTTTCCTACTTAATATAAGTATTTCCGATGACTGTGTCATCACGTAGACAAATGACCGTTCGAATAAGAGTAAACTATAAATAAGAATTGTTTCGCAAAAGTTTGAAACTTTTACTCTAATTCCGAAGTGGCGCTAAAACAGGTGCAGCTTCCATGTATATCTAGTGTTCTATTACCGTTTCATCAAGTGAAGCTGCTGAGTCAGTCAAACGCCTTTTGGTGTACATTCCACATGATAAGCATATCAAGTCAAGACTGTCCGAGTCCGAAATGCTCATAAAAATGCTTTGCATTGGAAAAACAAGTCCAATATCAATTGAATTATCAAAGTAATAAGAAATAGCTGATTGTGAGCAACAATTAATGGACCACAATGATAACTGAAAACATAGTAGGTAGAGTTCAAACATATTTCATATAATCAAAAAAAAAACGACATATTTTGTCTGACATCGACGAAAACGAATTCAGCATCTAAAAGACTTTTAACAGAAAATGTTGCAAACAACCGATTTTCTTACTCGACAACTGGCATACTTTGCTAATTGTTACGAGATTTCCCAATAGATACAATGTTCAATTCGAAAAACTTGTCTCTTTTCATGCATGACGTGCATCGAATCTCGCCATTGTTCTACTGTTTCTCAGGTCTACAACATGCAGAATTACAGCAAGGACCATATATCAACTCTAGAAACAGTATGAGATCGATCATAAAATACATACTCAAGATTTGCTTTCTAATTAACTTAACTCACCAGAAGTTACTAGCACAGACTTGCCCGTGTGATCAGCCTTATATTTCCTTGGTTTGCAACACAGATTGCATATACCCTTCAGATGCAAACAAAAACCACAGAATTATTGAAATTATATTTCATCATATTACTTATCATTGAGTTGTTTCACTTAATATAATGCTTCTGATTTTGATGTATACCTTCTTATATATCATCGAGCTCTCCCACTTGAATGATTGTTTTTTTTTAACATTTCCTATCTGATGTCACATATATATCTGTATATATAGTATTCAACCACACGTACCGATGATGAACAACAGTTTAGCAGAAAACATGACATATTTTTAGTCTTTCAATTGTATGTAATAAATCAAGTCGGTTATTTGTCTTTTAATTTATAAATTTTACACTGGACGTGATGGATTAAAGTGTCTTTTTTAAAATGGAAATGCTTGTTTCTTATAAAAAGACTTATCCATTTAACAGATAAATTTTATTTAACATGCACGATTGATCGATATGGTAGGATTACGACTTGAATTTACTGTAGATAAAGAAAAAAAAACAAATGTTCTTCAATGTGTCTTTTATTGCTAAACATAGAAATAAAGAATGATAAATAATGCACACATATCACAAGTGAATGCAAGTTAGTCAATGTTCTTAAAAATTCAAGATAGAATATTGAATCGTTTGTCTCAGATAATCTATCAAAAAATCTTCCAGATATCTACCTAAGGTAGCTAGTGGAAGACAAATATTGTTAGATGATGTAATGGAACTGTTTATCACGAATGTATTCTCACTCTATTCTAATAAATGGTGTTAACGAAATTATTACAAAAAATATTTGATGTTGACATATGAACTCAAGTAATGTTTTTTTTTCTTTACATGAAGTCTACAGTTAAGGTTTAATGAGAATTTATCATTTTCAAAAAGGACAAAAGATATTATATTACTGCTATGTTGTGAAATGTGTAAATTGGAAACAACAGACATAATTTTATAAGCACCATTGTAACTTACATCTTTTTTCTTTTAGATTATAAATAGCGTTACTTTATTTTTTGATGATAGGACATTGATTATACTTTATAAACTAAGCAAATATTACAATTAAAATGAAAAATATAGTTTTCAAATCAAATAGTTAATATTGATCAAACTAAGATTCTTATCTGGTTTAATCTGTATGAATATTATAGAAATATCAGGTAATCTATAATTGAAAAAAAATTAATTCATGTGATCCATGAACATTCTCTTCATTCTCGCAACTTAAATGCCAAGTTTAAAAACAAAAAGTAAAATCAGGTTCTACCCAGATTTGAACTGGGGTCGCTGGATTCAAAGTCCAAAGTGCTAACCGCTACACCATAGAACCTACGTTGATGCCTCTTGATTGTCATCACATATAGTTGAAACCTCATAAATGCTATTTGATAATGAACAAAATGAAAATCATCATTAAAAAAATTCGATTATTCACATTCTTTAGTTTTTATCAAAAATATTTCAAAATAAATCAATATGTTCACAAATAGAAAAGTAATACTTTTTATTCTTTAATGTGATGCGATACTTTTGAAATTTCAACGTTTTTAATTGCATATATTTTAAGCGTTGCAAAATTACATTATAATACTTTTAAACGTAGCAATTATTCTTTCTTCTTCTTCTTCTGTAATAGATGGTAAATATTTATGAAAATATTAAGTGCAATATTTTGTTTTTTTTTCCGTTTGTTTAGAAAAAAATACTTAACGTCTTTCAATTGTTTAACTGATGGAAAATTGAGTTCGATCAAAGAAATAAAGAAGTGTAGGATTGAAAGGTTATCTCTAATGAATTTTTTTTGGTTTGCATAGTTTTTACATATCATTTTTCAGTTCAATAGATTGAGCAAAAAAATTAAATTATTTAAAAGTTTTTCAATGTCACTTCCAATTTATTCACCAACAAGATTTATTTGAAGGATGTTGCACGCGTCGTTCTATTGCATTTGAAATAACATTCTTTGAAAAAAAGAAAAAGTTTGTTTTGTCATGCAATTAGATATTTCTTTTGTTTTTCTCTCTCAATAAAATCTTATTGATTAACTCAATAAGATCTATTAATTTAAATTGTTTTCCTTGTTCTTTAAAATATATGATTATTATTGAACTTTTGTCAGTGCCTGACTTTTTTTCTCTTCGCTTGCTTTTTTTGTGTTAGCAGACCACCTGTATGAATTAAAAGCAAAAAGTACTTGACATAACAAAGAAAAACTATATACTAATGTAATATAATTGATCAAGGTTTAATAACAGATCGACATTAAATCGATTTGAGAAGCAGAAAAAATTCTCTTTTTGTTAATACTAATGTAAAAGAATGAACAGAATGCAAGGTGATTGTGCCACTTTATGCCTATACACTGTAGAATAGACAAATGTAAATAAAAAAAGTCTGATTTTTCTCCCTCTCTCTCTTCCCATCACTCCGACACAAGTTCACCTACACATACGATCGACAAAGAAGAGAGAATTATTCTTTTTTTTTTCTAGTTATATACATGTCAGTTAAAAGAAGGCTTCCCTATTTAATGAACAACTGAGAATGACATAACAAATATAGACATAAATGAAGGTGACACTGAATAATTACGAATAACAACTGGAGGTAACAAAGCAGGATTTCTTTTTTTTTTCTTTAGTTGACATGATCATGTTTCTTTTAAAAAATATTATTTGTAAGGTTCTTTTTATTGTAGATGGCATTTTCATTATCAACTAAATCTATTGGAAAAGGATCACGATCTGATAATACTATCCGTACAGCAATAGCACGTGATTATGATCGACAAAAATTGGCAGCAAAACATGAAGCTAAACTTGAAAGAGATTATGATACACTTGAACGTAAAATGATGTCACGTGCTAAATGGAATCAACGTGCTGAAAATAATAATCTACGTCCAAATCCAACAAATAATAATAATAATAATAATAATAATAATAATAATCAAGATCGTTCAACGATATCTCTTGAGCATTATATACAACGAGAAAAAAATAAAACAAGACAATATTATTAATGCAAAACGTATGGGCAATGAAAGAATTCGACGCTCTTCAATAAACACTTTACCAAAAGTTTAACTTTTATTTAAAAAGAAATTTAAAAAAATTATTTTTTTTTTTGTGATCAAGAAAAAGTCATGGAAATTGATTCATCGTTTAATTACATGTAAAGTATTAGTAGAAGCAAAAACGAAATAAAAGTCATTCTTGAAAAAAAAAATCTACAAAAAATATCATAAAAAAAGAATATTAAATATGGACGGAAACCATTGAATCAGATCATCAGCATTAATCATCAAATCTAAAAAAAAAAAAGAATAAGAATAATAGTGAACTTTAATAAACATAATGCACAAATACATTTCATTTTAAATGAAAATTCAATGCAATACAAATTGTATGTTTAGTTTTCTTTGGATTCTAAAATAAAATTTCAACAGTTGTGAAGCAGTTTGCTTTTTCCTATTAACAATTCAATTTACAAAATTCATATTAAACAATCAACTTAAAATGAAGAATTTTTAACATCATACTAACGAAGAAAGAGTGTTACATTCATGGAATTATATCAATTGAGTAGGATTCAGAGATGAGATTGATTAGGTTTGAACTTTTACAAAACAAACTAGATCGTTTCAGTATTATTATGATATTCTTTGCCGCTTGAAATGAAAAGCATACATCGCTAATCCAACAATGTCATTTTATCAACGCATTAAACTCTATGACACAGCTATAAATAATATATATTTGAATTTTACATTAAAGTAATCTCAATTTAGTTATGATGAATCGTTTTTCATGAAATTTCAATTAAAAGAATAGAGACGTACATTTTTAAACGAACAGTTCAAATGTATCGTACATGAAATAGAACTTTATTGAGTTATCATCAATGCAGTATCTCCAAGATATAATCCTGCATAATGATTAAAAATTAACCCTTTTTTCTCGAACTGTGTCAAAACAAAAGAAAAGTATCATTTCATTTCATTGACAATTTATTTCTTCATTGATGAACCGCAAATAATTAATTTTAGCACGATTTATGAAAAATTGTAATAAATGATTATATTCCAAGAGTGAAGGTGGATTTTTCAATTATTGAATTCATATTTTGATGACTCATGAACGTGTATTTTAAGATACTTATAAAATTATTATGCTTTTGACAGCATTAGTACAAATAATGGTGTAGAAGGATATCGCCTTCAAAAAATTATGAATTGTTTTAAACTTTTAAAAAAGTATTTGTAAAGTAGAAGAAGCATCAACAAAATAATACATTCTTCAAAATAGAAGAATTATTTATTGGATAAATTGTCATGTCAACAAATTTGTTGACATCAAACACTTGTTTTATAGAATAGAGCAAAATAATTTCGATTGATTGCTCTATTAGTAAAAATCAAATTCCATCATGATTTATTCTTCTATAGTATTATCTTTCTTGTCCTATTATTATATTTCATCCTTTATCTAATATTATTATTTCGAAGAAGCATATATCATATTGCTATATGTCAATTTTTTTGTACAAAATGTCCTAGAAATGACCTAACAAAACAATTCTATATCTCCATTGTATTTTAATTAAATGATGTGGTTTTTTTTCCTGATGATCGAGGAAAGTTTCAAGTTTCTATTCATACATAGACAGCTTATTAACATATATAAAGATCTGTAAAAAAAAAAAAAGTGTTTTGATATATACCATTTTGTAATGCATTTGCCGATGAACATTTTGGTAAAAACGATTTCCTATCTACTTAAACAAATGATAGCACTATGATCGAATTACTCTGGAGCATAAGGGTAATGTGACATTTTCCCATATCTTAATTCTAGTACAATTATCTGTTGAAGTAAATAGAAATTATTTTCTTTGCCAAAACGTTAAACAAAAAGGGATATGTGAATAAATTTTAAGATACCTTTGTGTTTTTGTTTTGCTGATTATCCATCAAACCACTCTACTAAAAGTTAAATGTGATCATCAGGATTTTTCCAGAAGTTTCTGTACAAGAAAATTCAAGAGAATCCTGTAAAATTTTCGAGAAGTCAGATAAATTAACAAAAATTCTAAGATTGCAAATAAATTAATTACAAGTTGAAAAAATTTAAGAACACGAAAAATTTAAAAACATTTTTCAAAAATTGAAAATGAATCATTTATCTGTAAAAGAAAGTGTATCTTCTCTTTTGCTAGCAGGAAAAATAAAAACAGCTCATTTGATTAAAGTAGAATGAAGATAAATCATTTTGTTTGTTGTAGATAATTTCGGAGATATCCTATACATTAAATTTTAGTAAATGAGGCATTACCTATTGGTATTCCTGATTAAGTTTGGCAAAATATATTATCAAGATGGTAGTTTTACCCATTACGATTCGAAAACGGAAAAAAAAATTTTCGGCGAAACAGAATTGAATACTCAGACTTACATTTTGTTTCGTCAATCTTCTTCTTCTTCTTCTTGTTCATTATGGTTGCCAGTTAATTGTTGTCGTAATTGACGAATTTGTTGATTTTTCTGTTCAATAATTCTTTTCATATTAATATATGTATTAGTTTGATTAAATTTCTTTTCTAGTTCATTTTCAGTTAATAAAAGTGCTTGTTGAATTTCTTTTAAACGTTTTTCATTTGATTCTAATTTTTGAGAAAATGATTCTTCTTTATTATTGAATAGACGTGCAGTTTCTGTTAATTGTTGATTTAAAAGTTCATCATCTTGCTCATACTTTGATAAACGTTGTTTTAATTGTTCATTTAATTGCTGTAATTTTTGTATTTCAGTTTTAAGTAGAATAGTTGATTTTGTATCATTGATTGGATCCATAAGTGTATCTATTTTATGAATAAGAAGAATAAAAAAAATCTTATTGATATTTTTGTTTCTATATTTCTTACTCATTTGTTTATTTCCTTTAGCTTTCGCTGTATTTAAATGTTGTTGTTCGTAATCACGTATAAGATCAATTAAACGACGATTTTCTAATTGATCAAAATTAGGATTTAATTTAAGAAACCATTGTTCAGCTTGCTGAAATAATTGTTTTATTAAAAGAGCATTAACACGATATTGATGTGTTAATTCTTGTTCAAATTCTTTTTCTAATATGTCAATAAATTCATCAAGAAAATCATTTACTTCATTAACAGTCATCATTGCTTCATCTGATAGACGTTGATTTTTAAAATCATCAGCAGCAGCACGAAATGATCGGAGACCAACAGTCTTTTGGTCGCGAGAAAAACGAACATAATGGCGAATAATTTCTTCATGATGTTCATTTACACCAAGATCATTAGAGGATGAAGCCATTAAGTTAAAAAAAGTCTCAACATAAAATATAAAAAATTAAATGTAGTAATGATAGTTCAAATCGAGTAATCAATCAAAATCTATTTATTTGACGCTTTCCTCCTAGTCTCTATTGAACTTGTACAATAAACAGATCACAATATCACACAGATTGGATCTTTCGTCGTTTAATAATGCATAAATTTCTTTTTTTTTTATTTAATTTTCAATTTTAATAGTGTTTATATGTATTCTTTTCTGCATGTGTTTATCAGTAATAATACTGGCTGTAGCATAAATCAAATCAATAGCGGATTACTTTTTTTAGTTTTGTGAAAGATGGCGTACGTATATTATTAATAACAATTTTTTGGTTCACATTAGTATTTAGGTAAGATTATGATTATGAGCATCGATGATTTTCGAAGATGTAACAGAACTTTGTCAATAATGAAAAAATTACTGAATTTAATTGTACATAATCTCATACGATATCTTATTTTTTGCCATTTACGATTTGAGTACACGAGTAAACCGTACAAATAAGGTGAGAATATCAAAGCATTGAAAGCAAGTGAACAGTAATTGATAAGTGCACATCGATTGTGAGATCGTATAGCTTTATTATTTTCAAAATGTGATACGAGATTTTCTTTTGTTGATAGCATGGTATTTATTTATGCATTATTACAGAAAGAAAGAACAAGAAAACAATCATCGATAAAATACCCTTTTTTTATTTCATACACATGAACTTTAATCCGATTTCATGATATGTTATACAATAAGATTCATATTTTTCTGTTCGGTACTATTATGCAGCCTACAACAAACGCAATGCTAACATCGACGTTTCCAATTTCTAATAAAATGTATGTGTAGGTATACTATGCCATACCTCCAATAAATGCTATACTACAAAAAAACAACGATAATAGTCTTTTAGAAATGACTTGTTCTAAATATGTTCTGAGAAAGTTTTCATAACATTGTTGTTGATAAAGTGCAAATTGTTAGTAAATACACAATTTCATTTAACGAAGAATTCAGAACATGAATGTCAAGCAATAAGATCATTGAATATAATCCGTGCTAGAATCCAACTACAGTCCACGTAAATTGAAAGTATGCTCTTTGAGCTTTTGTATTTTCATTGCCATAACTTGTTTATTTACTTATTATATATATAGAGAGAAAGCCCGAAAAACGCAACATCTAATAGTATATCTATGTTAAACAATAGATGCCGTTTGAAGTATAAAAAGGGTATTTGAAAATATAGTGACGTGTTTTCTTTTGCAAAATACATTCACATTTATTATTCATTTCAGAAATCAAGAAGAGTAAGAATTTTTGCAATGCCTTTCGATAGAAACAAGATAGAGATCAGTAGTTTTCACCATTTGAAAGAGAAGATGAATCTGTATCGGATCTCTTATTTCAGATGTTCCTGATAGCTTTTACCTAAAGGCTAGAGCTAAGTCTTTTGAAAAATTGACTTTTTTTCGTAGTCTTTGAAGAAAATCACATTTTTTTCCTCTCTAGAAGCATCGACATCTTAAATGACCTGGCTAAAGTCCCAGGTAAAAGTTATCAGGAACATCCGAAATATGAGATCCGATATCAATTCATCTTGTCTTTCAAATGGTGAAAATCGCAGATCTCTATCTTGTTTCTATCGAAAGATATTCCAAAAATTCTTACTCTTCTTGATTTCTGAAATGAATAATAAATTTGAATGTATTTTGCAAAAGAAAAAACGTCACTGTATTTTCAAACATCCTTTTTATACTTCTAACGAGGGAAGGTCACCAACTGTTCAATCGCTTTTGAGTCGGAACTATGTGCATCATGTAGGTCCTAATGAGCTATGAATACCCTGAAAAGAGTTCGGGCGGATAGCTTATTACTGTCAAGATACTGCATTTTTACGATATTTTTAAGCAAAATGCCGTGGTCCTCCTCAGGAACACCAGCAAAACTGAGTTTTGAATTTCGACTTGAAATTTAGCACAGAAACAGATCTCAGTGGGAGTAGCTTATTGTGAAAGTTTCAGATCTTTTGGTTGCTCCCATTCGTCAAGAAGAATATTGGAACCCGTCGGGGGTATACGAGCAGTGTAAAAACACCTTTTTTTAGCTGTATCTTAGGATAGAAACAACCAAAAGACCTGAAACTTTCACAATAAACTACTCTCACTGAGGCCTGTTTCTGTGCAAGGTTTCAAGTCAAAACTCGAAACTCAGTTTTTCTGATTCCTGAGGGGGATCACAGCATTGTGCTTAATTAAAAATACCACAAAAATGCAGTATCTTGACAGTAATAAGCTATCCGCCCGAACTCTTTTCAGGGTATTCATAGCTCATTAGGACCTACATGATGCACATAGTTCCGACTCAAAAGCGATTGAACAGTTGGTGACCTTCCCTCGTAAGCGCATCTATTGTTTAACATAAATATACCACTAGATGCTGCGTTTTCCGGGCTTTCTCCCTATGTATATAATAAGTAAATAAGCAAGTTATGGCAATGAAAACATAAAAACTCAAAGGGTATACTTTCAATTTACGTGGACTGTATATGTACTTACTTAATCTGACTGTTTTCTGTTCTAGATAAAGATTACTTACATAATTAAATTAATAAGTTATCGCTGCTCATCTAATTATTACTGGCATGCGGCGAAGCACTTCGATTAGACACAATCCCTTTAACCAGCGAAAAGAATTCGTAGAGTTTACGGAACGAAGCAACGAAGGCTGTCCCTAATTGAGCGATGATCATCGATGCAGTTATCAAATGCATATAAAATATAAGCGGAAAGAAATGTTATCAATACTAAGCACTATTATTAAATCTCTGAAGAAATACTAGATCTTCTTGTGGCTCCTTATGATACCAAAATTGAAGCGAAAGCTTCCTTTCAGATCGTCAAAAATCAAAGAGATGAAAGTTATCCAGTGACTTCATAAAATAATTACTTATATAATTGATTTGCAGGTCGACCTTTTATAGTAAAACTTTTTATGAAATTTTGTAAAAATTTGGATGTATGTTTAATTGTTTTTGTGGAGAGGGACTTTGTTAATAACCACTAGCTCGTAAAAAAATGCATCTAAATTATTTTTTGATCTTTTGTTAATGTTAAAGAATAGTCAACCTTGAAGTGGTGGAGTTCTATGTCCACTTACTGCAATAGAGTAAAAGTCAACAATTGCTTGCGTGTGGTGTTTGATTATTTAATGGATAAGGACTGTCATAAGAGAGTGTCGACGAAGAACCTGCTGGATAATGTGTTTGTGACCGTTGTCTTCCTGAATAAGACGTAGTTTGACTGAATGATTGAGAGATAAAACCAGAGGATTCAAAAGGTTTTCGCTACTTGTAAATTTGATAATGTTGAAGTAGGAAGTGGCAGTGCTGAAGGTTGCAATGTGTACGATCCAATATTTGGATATATAGCTTTTTCTTTTTGGCATCACTTAGTTTATATTCTATATCAATTACAATAGATACAAAATGTTTTATATACGTTCCTCTTTCTTTTCTTGGATCTTGTATGATCGAACTACAGTTTAACTTGACAATGAAGTTAGTACGACAGGATGAAAATATAAGAAAGAAAAAGAATGATGAGAAAAAAAAGCATCATAACTGTCGACTGATAACGAACTTTATAGAGAATAATCATAGCACACTTGTTTCGTGTGTCAACAGTAGAAGGCAAGGAAAAAAATTGATGTTATTTTGTTATATTATTATCTTCAGAGTATGAAAAACAACATTTAAGTTTTTATCCATTTTGATTTAAAGTGTTCTTGATTGTTTTCAAATTTAATGGAATAATTTTGATTATATATTGAATGAACTTTAGTAATATCAAAGAGATCATTTGAAATCATGTGAAACGTAATGAAACATGAAAATTGTTCAAGAATTAAAAGGTGTTTTTCAATAACTTCAGCGAGGGTATTTAATACATCATATGGACCCATTTGATTTCTATAAATAAGACATGGTGCAGTGAAAAATTGAAATGATTTAAGATTTGGTACATGTGTTAAATAAAAATCAATTTGAGAATATGTAAAACCATTTTTTAATTGTAAATGAAAATAGGAAAGACTGTGAAAAACATTTGACAAAGAACCATTAACTGTTGGAAGCACTTTAATGTAATCGATATCAAGACGTAAACGAATCAGATTTGGTAAACGACCAAGTAGAGAAGCAAAATCATCTAAATCATTTGGAGAATACATAGAAAGTGAATGAATAGATGAAATTGAATATGGAGATGAATAAGCTATTACTAAATCTTTTGAATGCCAAAATGGTAGGACAAGATGCTTTATTTGAGGTGAAGAAAATAATACCTTCCGAAGATGACCTATACTATGCTGAGGTATGTGTCTTATTTCTAGACGTTTCAGATACATAAGCGCATGTAATTGATCGATATATTCGTCTGTTAACAAGTGAATAATCAACGAATGAAGAGTATTACGAAATGGTGCAAGTGATATTGAAATAGAATTTTGTGTGATATGTATATGACGAATTTTTGAAGCAATCATATTAATAAAATCGACTTCTGTTGATGATTCAATTCGAAGATAACAATTTGAAAGAGAATTGAATAAAATATTAAAACGCAAATTAAGTCCAAAAAAACTTTTGTAAATATCTTTAATTTCCAAATAATTGAATAAAACATAGAATAATTCATTTGGTAAATCTTCTAATCGAATAATTGATTGATTATTATTCAAATTTAATTGAAATACATTTAAATTTGAAAATTGATTTGATGACATCATTTGCACTTACTTATCTAAATATTATGATATAGAGATATAAATGTAGAAATATGCTTGGAAAAATGATTTACATTATTACTATGAAAGAAAAACAAAACAACCTTGTTTTCGGGTTTTTCGCTTTATGTTCTAGACGAAGAACAAGATAAATGCATTGATTAGGAAGTAGAAACAATGACAGAACACATGAATTAAGAAGCCATGTGACATTTTGCATACTCAACGACAAAAAAAAAATACTAGCTATAACATTTATTTAAAATTTCTTTGACATTACTTCCACTTTTCAAAAAACAAAAGAAAAGAAACATTCTATATTTTGGAAGGCTGACTATCTCGTCCCCTCGCGAAAACCTTTATTGTTTGCCGTAAAGCAGCTGATCTTGCTGAATTTTTGACAGATACATTTCTGACTTTAGATAGATAACAGTGAAAATTTCAGCTCAAAATATTGAGTTGTACAGAAGTTATCTTAGCATCAACGGGTCAAAAATTAAGTGTCAGTGTATGAAAGATTTCTTTGACATCATTGATTCTAGAGAATTTAAGAACGTTTCAAAATGTATCCACCAAAAGCTGCGGCTACAACTTCAACAAGCAGAATATTTAAAAATTTTCTAATCTTATAGGAACAAACATGAAAAAAATTGAGTGCTTTGAAGTTTTAGAGGTAAGTTAATACTTTATTTTAAAATCTTCACAAGTTTTTCGGCATTTACAACAGTAGGGAAATCTTTTATAGACGAGTAGGTAAAGACAAAAACAACTCATGTTAAAACAACCTCAACACCTTTGACCTGTGAGAACCAAGTGTCTTTTTCTCCATAAAATGATATAAGAAAAAAAAACAACGTACTCTTTATAAAACATACACTGGGAAAAAACCCAACATATGATGCATTACAGCATATTGGGAAAATAACAAGTGTCGAGAACAATAAATCTGTTATTTAGAAAAATCCATTAATATAAAATTCAAGCCATTGTACTGAAGTATTAATACTAAATAAAAATGGACAACAGACATTACTAAATTCGTTAATAACAATGATCAAGTGACCAGTTCTTGATGAATATCAAATTAATATAAGTATTAGAACCCCTAGACTTCCCGTATTCTAATTAAGATATCTGCGATCGTCAAATATAAAGGAAGGAATGGTTTAGTTTGAAAGAAATTGTCAGATAGAGGACTTACAAATTATAGTCTGAGATCTTAAATTTGCACCTTTCTTGAGAAATTTCATTTCAATCACTTACACATCTTCAATTAATAGGATTTATTAAGGATTATCACTTAAAATCGGATGGTAAGATCATTGTAGCATGTCTTCAGATTCAATCACGTCTTTATTAATATCGATTACTACAATAAACGTAACACTATTCATACAACGATTTGACTCAAAAGGTGCTTTAAAAAAACCGATAATAATATTTAATTTAAAAAATACCAGTACCCTCTATGCAGTAAAACAAAAACATTATTCTCATTTAGGATAATTAGTGAAAAAATTCTCTCCAAACGATAACTATTTTTTTCATAGGATCTTTGTATAGGTTTTATTTTTCTGAGTACTACAAAAATTGAACTGAGGTATTGTCCTGATTACAGTAATAACAATGATTCGGATAATGATATCATTTTTATCTAGTCCAATTATTGTTACATCGTCCTTTCATCATGATTCAGTCTATAGTATTACATTCTGTACTATCTGGAGCACCAGATGAAATTCGATTAGTTCTACTTGGAAGAATCGACGCAGGTAAAACAAATAGAATCAGATCATTTTGAAGAATATAATTTATTTTATATTTAAGGTAAAAGTTCATTTGGTAATACAATTTTAGGTGAAGAAATATTCGATGCACATATTAGTCCAAATGTAGTGACAAAAACATTTATCGATTATTTGATGGTAAACAAATATTCATTGTTGATATGTCCGGTTTTCTTGATCCTACTGTCACAAAAAGTGATGTGCAAACTGAAGTAGTTAAATCCTGTGAAATGACAGCAATACTTGGTCTACATCCTTTTCTATTAATCGTTGAACCAAACAGATTTTCATCGCAAGAAGCCGAAGCCATAAAATATCTCGACAAAATTTTTGGTGCTCAAGTTGTGCATCACACAATTATTGTTTTTACTCATAGTGATTCATATTCGAAAAATAACTGTAGAACAATATTTAGATAAATTAGAAACAAATGTTCCATTAAGATATTTACTTGAATAATGTAAGCAACATTATATAACTATGAATAATTACAGAACACAGTCTGAAAACGATGCTTCAGAAAAAAAGAAATTCACTGAAATGATTCCAAGATTAATAGAAAATAATAATGGACAAGCATATCTATCAGTTGAGTTTGATACGATTGCTAAAGAAACTGCACAAGCGAATCTGTCAGATTTGCAAAAAAAAAATTCGCAATTTCCCAAGCGGATTAGACTTGAGCTAAACAGAAAACAGCTTTGGCCAAGAAAAATAAACTATCGATACCTATAATGTTGAAGATTCAACTTGTTTTCGAGAAACATCTAACGAGAGTCCGTCACCAGATTACAAGATTTTGAGACCAATGCGCTAGCACAACCATCAAAGGATTCTTTTTCCATTGCACTTTGATCGAGATACTAAGTTCACAAGGCACAGAAAATTCGCGTAATTACTGTAAAAAAAAAGTATCTTTAGACTGAAATTTTAGTGTAATGACGAGCCCGCGTTAGATATTCGTCGAAAACAAGCTGAATCTTTAACATTATAGATATCGATAGGTCGTTTTCCTTGGTCAAAGCTGTTACTGTTCACTTTCCATCTAATCTATTTGTGAAATTGTGAATTTTTTTTGCAAATCTAACAGATTTTCTATAAATTCACCCCGACTGTTCGAAAGAAAATCATTTATGTTTTCAAAAAAAATGTAGGATGAAAATATTTATTCTAGATTAATAAAATGACTAGAACATAAACGTATTTCGATCAATAATTAGACACCAGTTTGCCATGGATAAAGATCTGCGGAACGAAGTTCTTTTTTAGTTCCGACTCCAGGAACTTATTTTTGAATGGTCTCAGCTCCGATGATTTTTTTTTGGATCCTGATCCGAGTCTTGATGCCAGCTTAAAGAAAACTATTTCAGAATTTGTTCGCATTAAATCTAAAAAACTCATGGGTTGATTAATTCAGCCGATAAATGTCAGTTTTTTTTTGTCCTCATCTCTTCTGGATTTTGTTTTAACAGATCACATGTGATTTATAAACATAATTCACTAAAAATCATAGAAAATCGAACAACTTTTTTCTCTCGTAGTACCGGACCAGGTGAATTTTTATTTTTGGGTTCTGCACCTTTTCAATCATAGATAACATCAATTTAATGGAAAATTTGAAGCTTTAGAGACCATCCTTTATTCTATTTAAAATATAAAATACATTGATTTTTTCAAAAAACAAAAGAAACAAAATTTTATGTTTTAACACTAGTTTGTTTATGTCGTGGTGTTGTTTGTTGTGTTCGTAAATATTTCATACTAATTAAATCTTGTTTACAACCTGTATGACTTGCAAATGGAGAAGATTTTGGTCGATTAAGTAAATGAGAAATACCACTCTAAATGAATACAATCCATTTTTATTTGAAAGAAAAACAATAAAATAAACAAACTCTTTGAGGAATTTGTAAACGAGGCTCATTTTGTACATTTGATGTATTACCATTATGATAAGGATGTACAGGACTGTCTGGCGATTGAGCAAATGGTGGTTTATTATTTCCAATAAAATAGAATGCGGAAAGACGAGAATTATTTCTAGATATTTTAAAAGAAATTTTTAATAAAATATTTCATATTAAAGAAGAATTCACTTGAAAGAACTCGATGTATTACTAGTTGTATCCGGTATTCCAATATTCGATTTTGAATGTACAAATAAAATATCACCTTAAAATAAAATTTCTACATTTATTTTATGCAATAGAATTACACTTACTTGAAGATTGATCAGTATTCAAACGATATGAACTTCTTGCCCATGCAATTGCCTTTTTTATATTTAAATAGAAAAAATTAAATCAAGTTTTTTTTTAAAATAATCAAAATCAATTGATTAAGTTTCTTTTTCAAGAATTATTTCAAATTGAGAAAATAAAAATGACTTTTTTTTTCAAACCTGTCCACTTGGTTTTGCCAAAATTGTTACACATTCTGGGCCAGTTTCCCATCGTTTTTTTTCTTTCCATACAAATATATGTGGAAATTGAGGTTCGATATCTTTGAATACACCACACCAAATCTTAAAACAAATTTTTTTTTGTGTTCAAAATAACTATTCATGAACTTTTCATTATTTACCGTGATAGTTTGTCCAGTTCGAATAATTGTACCTTGTGGAAATCGAAAACGACAAACTGGTACACAAGCAATATTTTGTTGTAAAAAATGTCCACTCAAATCATAATCATCTGAATTTGAAATATTAAGTAATCGAATATAATCTCCATTGTTCGATTCAATTTCATGAATACGAACATTTGTTAATGCACTAATTTGAAAAAAAAAAAGAACAAAAATTCAAATACAAAAAAACAGAAAATTCCCAAAATAAAATTCTAACTTTCCCATTTTAAAACCAATATTTGGTTGAGTTGTAACTTCATTATGATGTTGTTTAAATAATTCTGGTATAAGATCAGAATTTAATTTAAAAGATTCATTTGAATTTATCATCATTGGTGTTGTCATTTGTATATTTGTATCATCTATTTCTGTTGATGATTTTTCAATTGGTTGAATATTTGATTCTTGATTTTGATTAATTAATGCATTTGAATCTTGATTTTCATCAAAACTAAAACTAACTGATTTTGGTGATTTTGCTCTTGTTGATGATTGATCAGATTTTTTTAAATTAGATGAACGTTTACTTGTTGAAGAATTTGGACGATTTTCAATAGTTGAAGAATTTGTTGATGATGAATCAAATGATGATGCTGAATATAATGATAAACGATCAGTTCGACGACTTGATGGACTATTTATTTGTTGATCTTTTGTACTTAAATTTGTTACAGATTTTGATTCAAATTCTTTTGCTGCAATTGATCTTGAAATTTGTGCATCATCATTATCATCATCTTCTTCATCATCCCATTCAGATTTTGTTACATCAATTGGAACTATTCTTTAAAAAAGAACCCAAAAAAAATATATAATTTTATTCAAAAAAAAACCAAAAATTGGAATTTTGAATAATAAACTAACTCGTCTTCATCTTGTTTTTGATCAATTGTTGCTTCATTTAAAACTGTTTTAATTGTTGTTAATTCTTCAACAATATTATCATGTGTTATTGATACAATTGACATTAATTCATGTAATTTTTCATGAATTGTTTTAACAGATGATAATTTTTCTTCCAAATTATGAACAAAATGAATTAAACGTTTTATTGAACTATAATTTGACATTGATTTATTATTTCCAAGATGATTTTGTTTCACATCCATTTCTTTTTGACGACGAAAGTGTTTTAGATGTTTGTTGAAAAATAAACAAAATACATATATATATATGTTGATGGATTCAAATGCAACCGTTGCACACCTTTCAAGTGGATCACTTATTCAACGAGCAAGCGTTTGAAGAAAAAAAAAAGAATTGACAACGAGCAAATCAATCAATAATAACGACGGCAACCATCAACTTTAGTCAATGAATTTATTCAAGAGAAAAAAAACGAAAAAAAAATGAAAAAAGAAAATGAATGTTGTTTGAACTCTTTTTTTTTTTGAAATAACACTTTTTTTAATTACAATAAACATAACTCACAAAATAATAACATGAAAAGTAAAGTTTAAAATAACTTTTCATTTTGGCCTTAGCTGCACGAGTAATGTCTACTAGTGTCATTAAACTCATCCTATTGAAGGTTAATATATTCATTCAGTACTCTTCTGAATAACCTTGAATGTATATTTTCTTTATTCTATAGTCATTTTAATTATTTTCTTCTATTCATATTGAATTGATTTACGAAGAAAAAAATACTCGTTTAATTATGGAAGAAGAACATCTTTGCTCAAAAGAAAATTCATTGTGATTTAATTTATTTATCGATTTGACCTGCTCCACAATAACCATAGCCTATTTTTTCAATTGATAGTTTTCGTTACACTAGTAGTGTTTCAACTGCATTGATTCATTCTTTGCTTTCTTTTTCTTTGTCATTTAAAACATGATGGCTTGGACAAAAAAATCTGTTGTTCTAATTAACTATTTTTGTAGGTTTTCACAATATTTCTTTCTGTTATTTGATTAACTTGCGAATAATATTATCTAATGAGTTCAGATTTTCATCATTCTTTAAAGCAATGCGATAGAGATGTCTTCGTACATAAGGTACATCCAGGTTCATAATGTTTCATGGATTTATACAAAATGTCGCACCGTATTAATTATCATAAAGATTTTCAAAGGTTTTATCAAGTCTTAATGATCTTGTCTTGAGTTTAGTATATGTCATGTTAACTACAAATACGAAAATATTTCCAAAAACAAGATATCAATTTTCAAGAATATGAAATATTAAAATAAAATTAATGTAATTTTCAATTAATTAGATAAATCTTTGAATATATTTATTGAAGTTTGCTTCGTGATATATTATGAATGTACGATTTTCTCGATGAGAAAAATATAAAATATCCTAATATTTAGATTTTTCTGTTGTTTCAACAACATCTTTTTTGTTTTCTTACATAATTTTTGTTTCTTCTTCATGAAAAATACTAATCGAATAAAACGGCAAAGAACGTATTCCACATCTTTAAAGAATGTTTTTTCGTTCTTTAAAAAAATTTTTCACATTTTTGGAACGTACTCTTAGTGATGCCTGTTGAAAACGATGAATAATAGATTCTACTCATCTATCGAAATATCATATTTCTCTATTTTAAATTCATTTTTTTATTCTCTGGTTTGTCATAGATTTTGAATTTAAGAATGTTAGTTGGAAATGTTGACCTGTTATCTACTAGACAACTTTACCAATTTCATATTCGAGCAAAAAACATCACATGAATGGGATGGAGCATTGGATTCGAAAAAAATCTATTGAGAATATATTATTTTTCATTGTATTCTCTATTTAAATTGCTTGTTTTCATTTACATTTAGTAGACAGACAGTTATGACTACGAACGTTAATTTAGTATTACTTTATGAAATCAAGGTATAGACAACATTTATATTTAAAAATTAAAGAAAAATAAATCATTTATTTTGTACAAAAATAAGAAAATGACGAAGTTAAACAAGGGAAAATAAAAATGTTTCTTTTTGACAAAATATTTAATAAGTAGAGATTTTTCAGATCATAAAACTATTATTTAAAAATAATCTACAATCATGTTGTCTTATATTTTTGTGAAACAC